AAACTAAAGTTTAATGACATTGATTCAGTGGATGACTTAGGGAGGGAGGGACAAGAAAGAGATTAAAAAAGTCACATGGAAACTTGGAAAATGTGGTTGTTGACTTGATGATGGTATATATTGTTCTTGGTATACATGGCAAAACATCAAATAATTTGCCTTCTATGCAATTCACAGCATATCAATTGTACCTCACTAAACTAGTTATGCAATTTAAAGTTCTAGAGTACTTTAGGCATTTGAAGCTTAAAGTATATCAATTGCTGTCACATTTTAAGCATTTCATGTCACTTTAAGCACCTATTAGGAGTGCAAATTCAAATTGACTCACAAGATCAAATATCATGAACAGTTTTTCTTTTATGTTTTTTGTTGTTGTTATTTTGCTTTTGGGGCTGGAGCGATAGCACAGCAGTAGGGCGTATGCCTTGCATGCAGCCCTCCAGGCTGAATCGGGTTGAATTCTTCTGCCCCTCTTGGAGAGCCCAACAAGCTACCGAGAGTATCTTGCCCTAACGGCAAAGCCTGGCAAGCTCCCTGTGACATATTCAATATGCCAAACACAGTCACAACAAGTCTTAAAATGGAGATGTTACTGGGTCTGCTCGAGCAAATCGATGAGCAACGGGAGGACAGACAGTGCTACAGTGCTTTTTGGGTCACATCCGACAATGCTTAGGGGTTACTCCTGGCTCTGCACTCAGGAATTACTGCTGGCGGTGCTCAGGGGATCATATGTGATGCTGGGAATCGAACCCGGTTTGGCCACGTGCAAGGCAAATGCCTTGCCCTCTGTGCTATGACCCCAGCCCCATCGTGAACAGTTTTAAAGAGTAAAGTGGGAGTGATTTTTAATTTAGTCATCAAGTTGTACCACAAAAACTACTATTAAATTCCACAATGTCTTCATCACTCCAAAAAGAAATCCTATAACTATTAAGCAGCCATAGACCATTTTCTCCTTGGTCTGACCCTGGCAACCTATTTTCTTTTTTAATGGATTTGCTAATCCGGACTTTTCATATAAATGGAATCATGTACTATGTGACCTTTTATTTTAGCAGCTTTCATTTAGCACAATTGTTCAAGATTCACATTATAGCATGCTTCAGCTGCTATGAACGTACATGTGCAAATTTTGGTGTAGACTTATGTTTTCCATTCTCTTGATTTAATACCTCAGAGTGGGATTTCTGGGTAACTTCATACTTAACTTTTTGAGGAACTGTCAAAAAGTTTTACAAAAAAACTGCACCATTCTTCATTCCCAACAATATTGTATGAGAATTTTTATTTCTTTGTTAACAGCTTCTACTTGTTCTCTAGTGAGTATGGAACAACACATTCTTATGGTTTTTATTTGCATTTTTTCAGTGACTAATGATGTTGAATATTGTTTATTCAAGCCTCTGAAAATAAGCAGGATTAGATCTTGGTAAAGAATCACCTTGTCCATCCCCATTTTTTCTCTTTTCAAGCCAAGATATGTTGTTTATTTTTTCAGTCAATATGCTTCTGCTGAATAGCCCTGGATTAGGCATATTTTAAAATTTCAGTGATGTATAAGTGATGGATTCTCTCTCATCAGGAAACAAATTATAAATGAAAGTGGAAAAGAAAAGAATCATAAGAGCATGCCTTCAAATTATCTTAAGGAGAGAATGGGAGATAATACAGCGGTTAAAATCATCTGCTTAGCTTAGGTTCAATTTCTGGAATCATATGTTGCCCTAATTTTACTGGATATGGCCCTGTTGACTGCTGAGCATTGCCAGAATGGCCCAAGTACTTGTGGCACTACAGGACTTGAGCAGCATCCTTGGGACCTTGCATGTTCCCACTGGGCCTGTTGGCTGAGAATTGCCATTGAGGTCTTTGGGCCTCCTTGAGCATCACTTGGGAGCCCTTAGCCCTCAAAATTTAATAAAATAAAATATTTTAAAGAATATCTTGAAAGATTTGATCAAAGATCATTTTGAAATAGAAATACCTCCCTCAAATACTTGACACATTCTTTTCAAATACTTCTTTTCTTCCTTTTCTGTGGCTGCTGTTATTGTGATATTGGGGGTTTGCCTTGGTTGTGGTGGTCTCTGGACGCACATACTTGGTTGCTTCACACTAGGCTGCAGTGTTTGCTAAGGGTTGCACGCTTTAGTTGTGAGGCACACAGATGTGCTCAAAGGACTCACACTTTGGTTTAGAGGCTCGCATGCATACAGCTAGAGCATGACAGAGGCTGTACCTTCCGTTCTGGCACCAGGGGTCCCCAAACAGCAGAGCTGCAGGGACCACGTATGGGTAGTGCCTGATTATATACTCTAGGCCTCTCTCTTGCAGGCCGGTGCTTTTGCCACTGAGTTGTCCATGGGCTCCCCCATACACTTTTCACAGGAACTCTCCATGCACATGGCCCAGAAACACTCAGCTATACGTATTTTTGGAAAAGTAGTTCAGGATCTTCTATATAAATAGAGGAAAATCCTATCCTGATTCTCACTTGCTGGTGAATTCGTTTTGGCCAAGTTTTGTTACATAACTTGTATGTGTGAAGCGCTGACATTCCAGTTAGTCTACTGGGGTAAATGTTTGGCCTCTGCTAGAAACCAAATGTGCTCACTCACAGGGAAATTAAAGGCAGAATAGCAGTTGGTTTCTGCTCTATGTGCTTTGCACAGCGTTGTTTCCTCTAGTCTTTCCCCTGACCTCCGGGGGTTAAATTGTTTCGTTTTCACATCATAGATTCCTGCTGAATTTCTTCTTAAACACTCTGAGGTCAGGCCAAGCAGCCACGCAGGCAACCCCTTATAAAAGACTCAGCCTGTGAAGTGGTAATGCTGGAACATGGTGTTAGGGAAGAAATTGGCACAGGGCCTGGGTGTGGAGTCTTCTCTCTCTGCATTGATCTTTCAGACAATAAGAGTGATACGCACAGTAGAAAGACAGAAAACATTTTTAACTCAAAAAAGTGTTCAGTGGCATATTTCTGACGGTCTAACATTCCCAATTAAAAACAGAAATAGAGTTGTATAGACTTAATCGAGTTAATAAGATGTAATAAGATTATTCCACGAAGTTTGACACAACAAAATGCTTGTTGAACCAGCTACATTATTAGTCACATTCCAAGCAAACATCTAATGAAAACCATCAATTCTATTCTTCTCACCTCAGCAATCGCATGTATGCGTCAATCTGCTCAAATAAATCCATAATGGATCTGTAAAAAACATTTGCCTGTCACCTTCATTAACATAGTTCAAAACATGAACTCTTGGACATGAGTTCAGTTTTATTACTCACTCTTTACATGACTTGGGCAAGTACTGAAAACTGACAAGATCTCAGTTTCCATATTCCAACTGACAAGATCCTTTCCACTTCCAACAAGCCCTCTGTTCTAATGTATGTGCCCTCTTGGTGCAGTGCCTCTGGGTACTTTTTCTTTGGCGTCAGTTCCTTTTTTCCCATGTGGATCAGCTCCCTAAATCTGCAAAACAGGAAAAGTTGGGGAAGACTTAAATACAAATAATTAAGATTTAAAAATATCTAGACATCAATCTCTAGATTACTCATATGTCACAAGACAATGAGTATTCATGTTAGCATAATGGCAAAGGGCATAGTGGCTGAATTTCAAAGGCATGGCATTTAATGTCTGACAGACTGGATTCCCATCCTGATTCTGACGGCAATGTGATCTGGGACAGATTGCTTAATCTCTCTAAGATCTATTTTCTTATTCCTACCTCCCTGGTCTATGGTCAGGTTTAAATGACATCAGATGTAGACAAGGCTTGGCACACAATGAGGGAGCAATTAACATCTGTTATTATTATCTTGCCAAACAAGATCTCTTAAGTTTGTTTTCTGAAAATGAACGTGATCACTCAGGACAGTTTGGAAGAATCCCAAATCCTGGCTCTCTAAGTCCATTCTTTTTCCAATAAAAATCTTCATATGAAGAGCAATTTACAGCTTAAGATCTACTTTCACAAATAGTGCAAACTCTTCTCCTTTGTTATATTAATTTTATATGCCACTCAACATTATCTGAGGGTCTAATATTTATCCACAAAAGCATGAGAAATATAGAAGATAATGGATCATTATGGGTCAGGCTTTAATTAAGTATTCCTAAACATTTAGTAAATTAGCTGTTTTTTATCCTTTGGTAAGATTATTGTTAAAGACAGTTATTTTTTTACCTTATAAGAACTTGGTTATCACATATGAAGGGAAAGCGCCCATGTGAAGTGAACATGCAGCACTAAAGACCTTGGGAGATTACCTTCTAATGACAGAGAACTACTAACCACATGTGGGGTTCAGTGTCCATCAGACAGGTAGCGCTGATAAGCAAGTGTTAGAGTTCTATTGTGAAGTACAATTATTCCTATCCAACACTAGGTCCTACTTGTGTATAATCAGCAGCCATGAGGGCCTCAGTAATATTAATCACTTTTTGATCTAAAAAGACATTTTTTTTCTAATGGAAGACAACACAAAGAATACAAAAAGATAGTGCAAAGCCACAGGCCTCGCTGATCAGGACAGACTCAGATTGCCTTAAGGCAGCGCCTTTCAAACTATTAGAGGCACCTTCAACTCTAAAGAAAAATTTCAATAGGACACCATTGTATAAAAGAAATACAAAATGGGTTAAGTTGATGGGGGGGGGGGGGAAAGGAAAGACCCATGACCTCTGGCTGCAGAAATCATGGGTCTAAAATAATTGCTGGATCATGTTGGCTTAATTAAAAAAAAAAGGCTTTTTTTAATTGCTGGGATTTGGCAGATGAGTTAATTGGGAGATGCGATTGAGGTGATTAGTTGTGAAAGGTACCACCATATGGTCGCTTTTGGTTTTCAGTTTGCACTGATATTTGAGTGTTTTAAGCTTGGTAGAGTAGTTAACATATGCCCTAAATCAGGATACAGGGTAAACTTAAGTTTCATGGTCTGCTATCAAAGAATCTAACCATTCTTTCTCATTTCAGAATCATTTCAAGTAGTCGTGAGAGGAAATGGCTTCAGACATGCCCGCAACGTGGACAGGGTCCTGTGCAGTTTCAAGATCAATGATTCAGTCACACTCAGTAAGTCCCTACAGAACTGGGGGATTGTGAGGAGGAGGGTGTTGTCTTCAGCCTGCTCAGGGGAGGAAATTTTCAGTCTCATTTTCCAGAATATCCACACTGAATCTCCAAGGAGATGGGTATTCCCTGATCCAGCAAAGGAATACCTACTTCTTGCACCCCTGTTCCCTTCAGGAAAAGCTGTTTTACTGCTAATCCAGCCAGCATGCTGCTCAGTCACTTCCTGGAGAGAGGCAGTGGCAGCATTGCTTGGTTGGGGCTGATCAAGTTTTTGACATGCCTTTTCTATTTGCTTATTTTTAGGCTACACCCGGCAGTACTTAGGGTTTACTCCTAGTCTGCACTCAGGAATTACTTCTTGTTGTGCTAGGGGAGGGGTGGGGGCCATATGGGATGCCAGGGATCAAGTCGGGGGTCAAGCTCTAGCCCCTAAGTTTGACATGTCTCAACGGAGCATTAGGGACGGTCAAGTATAAGGGGGGGGGGGGGGGGAAACAAACCAGTGACTTAATTCCAAATAAGCCAATAGCCAACCATTTGGCTTGCAAATGTAGATTTGGGGGTTTTGTTCAATCTGGACAAGTCTTGCTTGAAGTCTCCAAAAAACATTCTCATAAAGAATGTCTGAGACAAAATACAGGAAGATGGAAGGAAAATGCATCGTATTTTATGAGAAGAATGAATTATCACAGCATTGGTCTGAGACATTGGCCAATGAAACATTGGCAGCATACAGGTTTTGTACTTTGAGATGTATTTGATTCCTGTAGCTGTCCGGGGAGAGATAGGGAAGATGGATTATGTAAAGAGAGATGACTTAAAGCCCTGGCTCATTTTCATATCTGGCCCCCATCTCAGAGATGATGTATTCACTATCTCAGTGATGATCCAATGCTAGACTGCTTTTCCTGTGGTGCTCTGTTCTTTCTAAAGGCTTTGCATTTTTATGCTAAAACAGCATGAGACAAAGAAAGAGCAAGGAGGAAGGGGAAAACACTCCTTTATTAACTAATCACTCTACTTGGTTTTGTTTCCTAAAAGTGAAAAATTAGGGCCAGGGAGGTAATAAGGGGCTATGTCACTTGCTTGCCTATTCTTTGTGTGTGTGTGTGTGTGTGTGTGTGTGTGTGTGTGTGTGTGTGTTTCTTTTTTCTTTTTTTTAAATTTTTATTAGTGAAACCCCATGAGGTACAGTTGTAGCTTTACAAATTTTTGTGCTTGGGTTTCAATTATACAATGATCAAACACCTATCCCTCCACCAGTGCCCATTTTCCACCACCACTGATCCCAGTATCCCTCCCACCCCCATCCCCCCATCCCACCCTGCCTCTGTGGCAGGGCATTCCCTTTTGTTCTCTCTCTCCTTTTGGGTGTTGTGGTTTGCAAAAGAGGCACGGAGTGACTTGCCTACTCTTGAACACCCCCCAAGTGCAGTCCTCTCACTTCCTACACCCTCCCCCCCCGAAAAAACAAGGGTGGGGAGAGAATGGAGAGGTAGGTCATTTTAAAATCCACTTGAGTATTTAAACAGAGGCAAGCAATGGCTTCCTGACAAACATCTGGAATTCCTGGCTTTGGAATAATCTCAAACATTTAAAACATTCAGTTTTCTTAATACATGAAATGTACTCATATATCCAAAAAAGATTTTTTTAAAAATTTTGAAATAACCCCATAGAGCCTCAGTGTGAAAAAAAGTATGTGCCCCTCTCCCTTCAGATTTCATTTCTTTTTTTCCCTGTCAATTTTAGTGTCATTTAAGTTCACCTTACTTAACCAAAATCTTAAGTCTAAGATTGAAACACCTCAGGGTTAACCTCAAAGATATTGTCACCTTCCAGAGACTTCCAGACAAGTGAGCCCCTGGACCTAGGTCCCAGGGAAGATGAAGGAGACGAGTTCAATATTGCCATTACATAAGACATCTGTATTCAGACAATAGGAAATTCAAGTATATTGTGAGTTTGTAATGAATGGCCTTTGGAAAGTTTATTTTCCAATTCTTCATTTAATTCTATTTCTTTGGAAATCAGCTATATTCTTATTCCCTTTTCCCCTCCCTTCCTAATATATCCTTGCAAATACCTTCACAGCCTTTCCTCCTCATTTATATATATAAAAAATAAATTAATTAATGCTGCAGGGATGGAAATTTAGTTTAAACCACGAACCTTATTGTGCTTCCAACACTGCTGATTGTTTGGGAAGATAAAGGCAGTAACTCAAGCAAATTCTATGTTGCAAGTCATCCTCCTAAACCTAGACATAGGGTTATTTACAATAGTCTAACTGGAGGCAGCAGGAAGAGGGAGATTTTAGAACCTGAAGCAAACACTTGTCCTTTATTTCTTAATTCATATGTTTATTTCCACTTAGTAAATAATTTGAACTGGAAGTCATAAAAGATAGAAAGAACTTTTCAATGTTACAGGGTAGCATATTCACATCTACATTTTTCTTTCAACCTTGTAATGCAGCACTCTATTGAAACTTACCTACAAAAGAAAATAGTTCATTTCCTTTATTTTTCCCATTCTGCTTTCCAGCCTCTACATCCTAACTTTTAAGATATGACCAATTTTTTAATCAGAAGGACTGAACCTTTGCATTCAGGCATGCTGGAGGCAAAGATTCAATCCCCAGAACCATTTGATTCCCAAAGAACTGACAGGAGCAGCTTCCAAGTAGTAGGTTGGGAGTAGCCCCTGAGCACACCAGGTATGACTCCAAGAACAACCAGAAAATTATTTAATATATTTTGTAGTATATATTTCCTGTCCCTGTCGCTGGAGCTATAGCAAAGCGGTAGGGCATTTGCCTTGCACGCAGCCAACATGGCCGACCCGAGTTCGATTCCTCCGCCCCTCTCGGAGAGCCCGGCAAGCTACCGAGAGTATCTCGCTCGCACAGCAGAAGCTGGCAAGCTCCCCGTGATGTATTCGATATGCCAAACACAGTAACAACAAAGTCTCCAATGGTGCCGTTACTGGGCCCACTCAAGCAAATCGATGAACAACGGGAGGACAGTGACAGTGATATTTCCTGTCCCAAAGTTTTGATTTTCTAAATACTGTTTTAGATTTTATAACATGAAAGAGAATATAGATTTTATTGCTAATAAGAAAAAAACCCGGGCTGGAGCGATAGCACAGCGGGTAGGGCGTTCGCCTTACAAGCGGCCAACATGGCCGACCCGAGTTCGATTCCTCCGCCCCTCTCGGAGAGCCCGGCAAGCTACCGAGAGTATTCGATATGCCAGACACAGTAACAACAAAGTCTCCAATGGAGACGTTACTGGGCCCGCTCGAGCAAATCGACGATCAACGGGAGGGCCTTTACCTTTACCTTTTAAGAAAAAAACCTAACTGTAAAAATAATAAAGCTAAGGTATTGTGACCTCCAGCAAGTTCAAACATGATACAGTAGCAGATTAGATAAAACAGAAAAATCTAAAAATAAAAGAACAAATTGAAATATTGTGTCTATAGTAGGAGATATTAGCATGAGTTTTCAAGTGTAATATAAAGAAATTAGTGTTGAGTGTGTATATACATGCTGATATATAGATATGTACACATATCTGTAAGTGTTTCCGATTATCCTGAACTATTTATTGCACAGACACAAGTACAGTGCCAACATATTAATGCTAGAAAGTAGAAATTGTTTAGATATAGTCTTAGGTGACAAATATAATCAGAAACTAAAAATCTTTTGTTAACATTTATTTCTTGTTCACTTGGAAATATAGGTCCAATTATTGACTTGAAACCAATATAATAGATCTAGAGATGCTGGATAAAACATGATTTCAAAAATAATAGTATGTAGATAGTTCAAAGGAAAGAGGGGGCAATCCCTAGGTACCACAAACTAAAAGGGAACCGTTAAGTACTGTACTGGACAATGACATGGCTATTAGAATAATGTAAAAATATGTGAGACAGAAATACAGGAAAAGAAGCCAAGCATCATAACTTTTAGCATTTGTTTGTTTGTGACAGTGCCAGAGATTGAACTCAAAGCCTCACACATGCAATGCAAGAATTCTACCACTGAGCTGCATTCTCAGTCCTTCCTTTCAAATCATGATTCTATCTTTCTGGGAAAAAAATCATGGAAAATCAACAGACTACTAGACTAATAGGAGAGTCATCAAACTGGGAGGCTTCAAAGTAAATATCTCCCTTATTGCAATCAAGAACTTGCCAGAGTCTAGCAAAAACCAGTTAGAAAACAAAACAGGAAAAATAGTGCAGCAATTAATAAAAGCCAGTTAGAACAATTTAGTCAGATCAGTAAAGATCTACAGAAATAGGAAATGGAGCAATAATAACACAGCAAGTAGGGCATTTGCCTTGCACACAGCTGACCCAGGTTCGATTCCAGCATCCCATATGGTCTCCTGAGCACTGCCAAGAGTAATTCCTGAGTGCAGAGCTGGGAGTAACCCCTGTGCATTGCCAGGTGTGACCCAAAAAGAATTTAAAAAAAAAGATCTACAGGAATAAAGCTACAAAAAGTTGGGAGAAAAATGAGGAAAAAACAAATAATTAAAGAGGCAGTATGGACTAGTGACTTTTAGTATTAGTCTGAAACCAAACCGGCTGGCGTTGACTTCCCTCACTGTGATGTGGCAAGGTATTTATCATCTTTAAACCTCCATTTCGCCAAGTGCAATAAATATAATTAATAACCCCTCTGCTGGAGATTGTAATGGGTTTAAATGTAAGAGGTGGGACTTCAATGCCAACTGGCACACAGCAGTGAGTCGATGTTGACTATTGGTATTAGTTTATTACCATTTTCACTAGTACTAAAGACAGCAGAGAATATTATAAAGACATCAGAGATCTTCACATTTATATTTACATTTAATTAAATCCCAGTGAAAATTTATACAGAGCACTTTATTTTAGCAAAATAATTCTAAAGTGTATATGGAAGAATAGACATTTTTAAGCACAGCCAAAAAAAAGGTAGAAACTTGCCTTTGCTG